TCTTGAAGGCTAGGATCTATTACCTTTCAGTCAGAAGCGTATGTCACAGTTCTCCAATGGACTTCTCATCTCGACAGTGGATATATCTTAGCCGCTGCTAATGGCACATATTTTGAGAGTAGTGGGAATCTCCGCTACATTTCCTTCTCGACAACAGATTATCTTGGGCCAAGTTTTTGACATGCAGCTCCAGCTTATATTTCTTCTCAAACTAATGTCTTCGATGACAAATGTCAATAATCACAATCTTATTACATCTTCTTTCTTGGTACTCAACATAGTATTGACAGAAGTCTCCTTCTCGATCTTATCTTCTCGAAGCCCTCGAGACTCATGTATTCAACCTCATTTAGGCATATCTCTTGCCTCTATTCACAAGATTATTTGATATCGCTTCTCATTCATTATTCTCGAGATTTGGAGTTAATGCTTCTCGATCCGAAGTGCGCATTGCAATCTTCGAGCAGATCTCTCGTTCTGCCGGTTACTGATAACACACCATTATATCTGAAATAGTGGGAATCTCCACTACTTCTTCTTCTATAATCCTCTCAAGGAGCGGGGCATTCGCCTCGATATTTGTCTAGTGCAGATTGTGAAGACCACCGCATAATGCTTTCTCGATTAAAAGTCTGGACTAGTGATTTCATCTTTCTCAGACTTCGATGTCAATCATTATAAGTGACATGCACATCGAGAAAGGTACGCACTAATGCTTTTATTGTTTTAATCTCTCCTCGATGCTAGCCTGTTGCAGGTTCTCGATCCAAGTCAGTTTTTCCCGAACTTGAAGAAACTATATACTTCATGTTATCAAGCCTACCCTATCTTCAGACTTCAAAGTATAGGCTTGATAAGGGGCACTTGACGAGTTCAAATTAGTACAGCCCACAACTAAGCCGGTCCAAATTCGGTGAAAGGTCCAACCGGCCTCTAGAAGTTTCTAAGTCGGTTCTTCATTACTTTTTTACCAAGAAAGGGTTCCATAACCTAGCTCTATAAATAGAGATCAACCCTTCAAGGCTAAAGGTACGCTCTATGCACCACAATCTACTATTAAGAATTACTCTTACCGACTTAAGTAACGGAGTATCTACCCTCGAGAGACCCCGAGGCCCTCTTTTGCAGGTTTTAGGGTTTTGACTCCACCGTGGCTGCCGGTTCAGCCAATCAGAGACGTTGGTGCAGATCTATCCTTCGTCATATGATGTCTCTACTTTGTCCCAAAATTATTGTCCAATTTTAAATTTTCACTTTTAATATAATTTGAACTAAAAATAAAAATTTAAACTGAACAATATTACTGTAGAATTAATTATATCGTGCACATAACTTTCACTTAAAAATAGACCGAAACACTTGACGAAATGACTATACAATCCCAATTTGATGTAATACCATAAGTTGAATTACACACCACAAAACAAAAAAGAAAAAAGAAAAAAAAAAAAGAAAAAGTGGTAATGGCTAGTTGAATTACATACCATCTTACAAGGTATACCTAGGTGCGATACACGCGAACGTACAGTGACAGAGTTAGGGGGACCAGCAAGGCGGTCGTCCCCAGCCTAATTTTTTTTTCTAAAGACTTCTTTAAAAATTTAGTATAAATTTCTAGATTTTTATATTGTTGCTCCCGCAAAATATAGTTTATACATTTTTGTTCCTTTATCATTCTATAAATCCTGGCTCCGCTACTGCCCGAACGTGCCTTTTGAAAAGTGTGCTCCACTGTCCTGAGATGGGTTGAAACTTTTTGGGTTGGGAATGGCTGATGAACGGGCCTCCACAAGTCGATATCTGGACCACACCCGTACCAACTAAGCCGGCCCAGTTTTCTATCTTACGATAGCATGGAAATTGAAAAGTATGGGCGGTTTGTTTGTTTTTTTCTTTCATGGAATTTTTGTGGGGTTTTCTCTTTTCTTTTTTCTTTTTAAGTTTTAGTTAATATATTAACTTCCCAATTTAATAGTTCTATTGTCTTAATAGTAATTATAATATTCGTCTCAACATCGCTAAGTGAAAAAACATATGCCAAAAAACAGATTTTATTGACAAGCATTTGGACTTCGAAGTGTGCATGAGTTCATTTGTAGAAATTGGTCCGTAGAGAGATAATACATACTCCCTCTGTCTCAAAATTATTATTCAGTTTGAGATTTCACTTTTAGTATAATTCGAACTAAAAATGAAAACTCAAACTGGACAATAATTATGGGACGGATGGAATATATATTTCAAGAGTAGAATTTCGCAGAACATGATATGCTTTCTTTAACCACTCGTTCTCTGGTGAGCTTGTAATAGGTTAACAATCTATACCATTGGGGTGAAATGTGGTTGGAGCATTTGTAAACGAAAAAACGAGCGCATTGTAAGTTGTACTTCTATATATACTCACTCATCTATGATCCACCGTTTGTTTTCCATTTGTTTTTTTAAAACCCAGCCGATGTGGTCTATTCTAGGAGATAAGGGTTCTTTCCCAAAGGTTCTTATCTTCTTCCTCAATTATTGTCAAGTTGAACACGAATCTACGCCAATTGATCACCACAAAAGAATATACTACTACTTTAAGCAAAATTCTTAGGGTTTCTTGATGAAGTGTATAACCAGCATGAACAACTTTTCCAGCTGCTAAGTCCGATCCAAATGCTTACGGAAAAAGGAAAAAGAAAAAGGGTTACAGATAAGAAAATTTTCCAATTCCTTTTTATCCTTTTTTTTCCGCAAATCCATAACCTTGACATTAAAAAAAAAAATAATGATAAGATGGAGATTTTTGGTTTGGTCGCCCATTATATATGTTATTATCATCATATCCAACTTTAATCTGTAAAATTTCAAAGTAACTTTTTGAGTTTCAACTTATGGTATTCTCTTCATATTCCTTAAAAGGTCAAGATTTACTATATGTAGTAAACAATTTGCAAGATTTTAGCTGTAATATATTTGATTTTTAAGCTTTCCAAGTTCCATTTCTATAATTCGCTTAGGAAAGCGGTGCCACCAATGTGTCGATTCTAGGAAAGAACAAAGAAAAAAAAAACCCCAATATATCATCATAAATTTATTTATAAAAGTTATTCCATCTTTTAGTTATACATATTTGTGATTTGTAGAGGCAATATATATCTACGTCTGTTAAAGTGGATGATACTTTTAAGTGACACCAAACCCTATCTTCCGAAAACCAAAAAAGAAAAGAAAAATTACAAGTTCATAAAGTGAAAAAGGATGAAAGGTGTGGAGACTCATCATCTATGGAAGCGGTTCTAACAAACGAGGTTGGATGCATGCGTCAGTTTGAGAAATTTCTTTTATAGAAAAGATCAATGAATTATAAGTATTTAAGGATGAAGTGAATTAGCTAGAACACGTTCATACGAAGTGAATACTGAATAGAATCTTAACTAAGTAATGTAAACCTACATTAATCTCTAGTTTTTCTATGAAAAAAAAATGATAGAAAAATCACTGTTGATAGATTTGTTCGACGTTTAAGAAAGAATCGAATATTCATAAATCTAATGATTCACTCAATCAGTGGCGGAACCAGCTTATAACATTCGGGGCCTAGCTGTTCACAAGCCAATATAACGAGAAAATTAACTTTGTTAAATTAAGCAGTACATGCAGCTTTTATATAAAACGTTTTTGAAATAGTTTTAACAATATTCATTCATACCTTCACTCTAACAAACATAAAATTCAGATTATAAGACAAAAAACCTAATATTCTATTTGGTACCAACTGTAGTACTGTTAAAACTTATAGTATGATTTAAAGAACAGTATAACAGTATTAGTGAAAGTTAGCAAACTTGTTTACCAATGTCTTAAATGCATAAATACTTAGTTTTGGGGGGCCAATTATAAGTTTCAAGAAGGTTATGGGGACAAACTTGTAAGAAAAAAGTCAGAAAAATGAAGTTTAAGTTGTTTTGGATGCTTTGTGCCTTCTGTTTAAAATGCTTTGTGCCATCTGGGGATTAATTACATAAATTTAAAAGTCTGAATCTATCCATCTTCTCCTTCGCTGAAGCAGCCACCGCTGCAACTTGTCACCGCTGACGACGAAATTTGATTATTCAACAATCAATAATTCGTGATTGGGATTCTATAATTCTAAAAGCTCTCATTGATCTCCAAATCCAGGGAGCTGAAAGAGAAAATGGCACCACCTTGGTCTCTGGCCGGAGGTAACCTTATGGTTTCTCCGGCCGGCCGGGGGCTCGAGACCCCCAGGCCCCAAGGTGGTTCCGCCCCTGCACTCAATAGTATAATAGATCTTTTCACCACTTGAACATGGTTTAGTTTTTTTTTAATTTTATTTTATTGAAGACGCGTCACATTCAAAAGATATATTCCCAATTTGTTCCGAAATAATTGTCCAATTTAAAATTTTAATTTTAATATAATTTGTACTAAAAGTTAATGTCCTAACTTGTTATTCCATTTCGAGACAAAATAAGCACTAAAATGCAAACTCAATTGTTATTCCCATAATTCAACAAGATATTGAATAACTTGAAAATTTTGAAGGCCTAGGGATGGTCCGGATGGATAAGAACTAAGAAGGAATTACTGTTTCATTCCTTGCTTTTACTAAAAGGGAGAGCTTTAGGACTTGAAAATGTCACAAAGTCGCCCAAAAAAATGTCTTCCTTCGTATTAAATCAATACTCAATAGTAGAACAAACTAACTCGATTCTTCTCTTTGAAATTGATGGAATATACTCCCTCCGTCTCATAATTATTGTCCAGTTTGAGTTTTTATTTTTAGTTCAAATTATACTAAAAGTGAAATTTCAAACTGGACAATAATTTTGGGACAGAGAGAGTAATTGAATGTAATTTATTTGAATTCAAAAATAACTTTGCATTAAAAAAGAGAACAAAAAAAAAAGCATGGGTTTCGGAGGTTTTTTTTTTTAAAAAAAAAAAAGTTTTATCCTACGACGTGACGTCCAATCATTCCCACTCCAGTAGTATAAATGGAGATCGCTGCCTCGTATAAGTTCAAAACAAATTATTCATTCTCTCTTGACAAAATCCATCGAATAATAGAAATCAGAATCACATTTTTAATTGAGAATTCGAATCCAACCAACCAATCATCAGTTGTATACCAGATCGTTATGGCAAATCCCGGAGAAAAATCGGTGATGGTGGTGGGAGTTGACGACAGCGAGCACAGCTTCTACGCTCTGGAGTGGACGCTGGACCACTTCTTCGTCCCTGCCGGAAACCTAGCTCCGTTCAAGCTCGTCGTCGTTCACGCCAAGCCTGCTCCTTCTTCCGCCATCGGCCTCGGCGGCCCCAGTTAGTACTTCATTTCGATTTTATTTTCCTTCTTTTTTTTTGTTTGGGGATATAGTGTATATATGAACTAATTTGATGGTGTAAAATTAATGATTACAATTTTAAATATGAATGAATTGATGGATCAGTTGCAGTGGATGTGTTGCCGTACGTGGATGCGGATTTGAAGAAGATTGCCACCCGAGTGCTCGAAAATGCTAAGCAGATTTGCTCTTCTAAATCGGTACATGTATTAAAAATTTAAAAACTCTGATTACGAAATCTTTTGTACGATAAGATAAAATTAAGAGATGAAATATAGGGGCTAAATTATTACTACTTCCGTCCAAAAAAAAAAATTATTTCACATTGAGTTTTTAAATTTATACTAAAAATAATATAAAAAACTCAAAACTAAATATGGATTATTATTATAGTACGGAGAGAATATACTTATAATTACATTTTCACCATCATCGTTCATACCAGGTGGATGATGTGACATTTGAAGGTGTGGAAGGTGATCCAAGGAACGTTCTTTGTGAGGCCGTGGAGAAATATCATGCCACCATTTTGGTTCTTGGCAGCCATGGTTATGGTGCTATTAAGAGGTTATTCTTCTCATAAATTAGGACTTCTCTTACTATTTTGTTTAAAAAAAAAAAAAAAAAGATACCGCTTATGTTCTTCATTTTTACAACAATTTAATGGATCGACCGAAATTCTCTTGAATTCCTAACTTTGATTACGACAAATAAAGAGTTAGAATAAAGTAAACATCTTATCCCTCTTATTCTAAGGAAAAAATATTTTATATCGAACTGAACTGTATTAAACTATACAATAATTAAGAGTTTTTATTATTATTATTATTATTGTCTCGAACAGACAGAGTTATATTAACCATTCATGCTAGCTCCTCAATTTCAACATTATTCTTTTGGTGGGGGACTACATGATGAAGTTACATATTCTTATGCTTATTCTTCCATGTGATTTTTTTTTGAATAATGATGTACGTATTTCTTTTGACGTGGACAGGGCCGTGTTGGGGAGCGTAAGTGACTATTGTGCACATCATGCCCACTCCACAGTGATGATTGTCAAGAAGCCTAAGCTCAAACACTAAAATCAATGATCAACCACAAGGCTCTTGTTGGCCGAACTTAATTTTGGCAGTATTTGTGTGTGTTTTGAATCATGATATTGAAGAGGAGTGCATAATGTTTGGTTTATCATTTCACCTTATTGTAATCTTTCAGACCGTTATTATGTTTATTATTGAAACTTTATGTTCCTTTCCAAGAAAAAAAATAAAAAACACTAGAATGATATGAAGCCATGCAATCAATTTGTACATAGACAATTTTTTTTTTTTTTAAGAAATAAGATTTGTATGTTTTGATCATTCTTTACTCAAGTTTGAATATTGTTTAATTCGATGTCATGCCCAAACAGCAATTCCCGTGTTATAATACTGCTTAATTAGTTCAAACTTCAAAACATCCCCACCTTTTAAATTCCATTTTAAACTATAACAAACAATGCAGATTGACACCAAACACAAAATAAAACAATCGTCCGAGTTTCTTAGAGTATTTTTTTTTTTTTTTTTTTTGGAGCGGGTGGGTGATTTCCTGCAAAAATCACAACCACATGGACTTTCTCTATCCTAGAAAAATAATTGATTTAATTATACTCTTTTAGGAATAAAAAAAATCAACAAAAAGGACTATTTTATTTTTGTATGTAACTGGAAAAGGTACTACAGTAGAACTTCTATAAATTAATAGTGTTGGAACTACTAAAATTTATTAATTTAGTGAATTATTAAATAATCAATAAATTAATAAATTATTAATTTAAAGAATTTGCATAAGAAAAAAAGAATCATCACTAAATTACTTAATCTGAAGTTGCCTTTACATCCGAATCAATCAAGTATTAAAACTATTTTGAACACAAAAAATCCATATATGGTTCATATCATCTTCAGGGACTAGAAAACAAGTATTAATAGTTCATATTTCACTAAATATTTATAGTACTTAGTAATATTTTTTGTTGTTAGGGTATTTATTAATTTATAATATTATTGGGACCTATAGATATATAAGAGATTTGCTGAAATATTATTATTTTATCATTTTATCGAATTTTTTCACTTTTTTTACTAGTCCCAAGTTAGGACCAGAAAAAAATTATTACTTGTTAGAAGTTACTAATTTATCGAATATTAATTTACCGACGTTTTACTATATGATACTTGCATGTGTGATGAGCCTTTGGATAAAAAAAAGTTCTAAAAAAAAAAGAAAAACAATCATTTAATAACGGACAAAACAGTTTGTGACTAAATTATCTTCCACTAACTTTTTTTTTTAATCTTTTTATAGTATTCGGAAATCATAAATCCTTTCTACGGCTTTTTACACATTGCAATACTTTTTAAGCAAGCATTCTAACTTGAAACCTACTTGGATGACATTGTTTTCATATATTCTAATTAATACAGGATAAGATTGATCACGAGAAAATGATTGACTTGATTATGTCTAGGGTATTCATCTTATTAGGATGAACACCAAAGACCAAATTAATTAGTACTCAAGCAAACTAATTGACTTAATCATTTTATATGCTTAATCAATCATTGATTGGGCAGCACGTTATAATTAAAAAAGATGTACCTTATCTCTCTCTAAATTCTATAATGATTAATACTGCTGCCAATTTGTAAGGAATGAAACAGCCCACTGTTTTGATGAAAAACCAGAAAGATCCGGTCTATTCTTGAAGATAAAGGGTTCTTTCCGAATAGAGTTCTTATCTTCTTCACAAATTATAGTCAACTTTCTTAAGAAAAGAATCTACACATCACCCTTCACCACAAAGAACTGAGGAACATATATACTCCTTCTATCTCAAAGTTATTATTTATTGTATTATAATTTAATTTATATTAAAACTAAAAATTCAAACTGGACGATAATTTTAGACGGAAAGAGCGTTAAATGTTTATGTTCGTGAGACATTATTTTGAACTAAATTTAATAATAAATTGTGGTTTTATCAATAGTTCATAAATGTGATTTATAGATTTCTTGATGAAGTGAACAATCAACAATGAAGTTTTCCAGCTGAGGCCAATTCAAATTCTAGGTAGAAAATTAAAGAAAACCGGGGATTCCTCAAATCCACAGCCCACAGCGTCTAGATCATATAAAGAATTTTTATTTTTTATTTTTTATTTTTTATTTTTTGGGTTACAGAAATAACGAAGCTTTTGTCTGTCCATTATGTTCTTATCCATCTTTATTTTGTCCGCTATGTCCTAAACCTATTAATGGTATTCTTTTTTTTTTATCTTTTTCAATATTCTTTAAACATGTGTATATGTCTGTGGTACAAAACTCCCTAGGTTTGTCCAAATCATATTTTTGAAGCGGACATCAAAATTAAATTTAAGATTCCCAAGATCCAACATTTTTATTGGCCAAGGAAACGCTATACCTCCCATGCATAATCCTATTGTTCTCTAAAACTTCTATTAGGAGATAAGTTAGGGGTTAAAAACACTAATTACATTATGTTCCACCCGTATATTAAAATCAATAATCTTCGTAACCCTTTTTAGTACACATGTCGCGTCTTGCAAGTGAAGGCTCTACCTTTCGTTATTATATACTCTCACTATTACAAAAATAATTGTTTTGTTTAATTTTTTAATTTAATATAACTTATATTAAAAATTAAAAAAAAATTAAAACGAGCAATCATTTCAGGACGAATGTGGTACGTTATTTGTATTGAAACTTGAAGGTAGAATGATGAAATGACAGCGTGTCGAAATAATTAAACTTCATATTTTTATTCCTAACATAAAAGTGTCCTACCATGAAAATCTAAATTGGGTAATCATTTTGAGACAGAATTTGTAAGTTATGTGGTATAGTAATTTAAAATGCCTCATTTTTTGAGTTAAAATTAATATATTCACGGAATCACTTAAGGACTATTGATTTAAATTTTATAAGAGGAATTTCTATTTGATATAAATTTCAAACTACAAATAATAAAAGGGAATTAATTAATACTTTGTTGTAGTAAAACTTGAATCGGTAAAACGTATTGATAACATTTTTTATAGTTATATTTGCCTGTAGAACAGTTCTTAATCATTCTTAATTTTTCAGAAATACTACTCTCTCCATCCCATAATTATTATCGAGTTTGAGTTTTTATTTTTAATTCAAATTGTAATAAAAAATAAAATCCCAATGGCAATCATTTTAGGAGGGAAGAAATACTATGTTTCAGATAATTTGAAGTATCCTATTTTGCTACGAACTCATCGCGTGTCTTACAATCATTCTCAACTCCGTGAGCAAGAAGCTCTTCCAGCTCTCCAGTAGTACTACTATAAATTGACCGCTGCCTGCCACTCTTTTCAAATCCCAATTTCATTCTCTCTGATTTCGAGAAAGATCTTCAATCAAATACAGATTCCTATATTCTGTTTAACTGAAAGTTAATTCAAAGCCAATCAATCGTTAATTAAATAATTTAGCTATGGCAAATTCCGGTGAAAAATCGGTGATGGTGGTCGGAATCGACGACAGCGAGCACAGCTTCTACGCTCTGGAGTGGACGCTAGAACATTTCTTCGTCCCCGCCGGCAACCTTGCTCCGTTCAAGCTCGTCGTCGTTCACGCCAAGCCGAGTCCTACCTCGGCCATCGGCCTCGCCGGACCTGGTTAGTTAAAATTTATCTTCAGGAAATTGACTTACTGTCGTTTTGATTTTTCCTCTTAATTTTTTCGGTGTCGGTGAATTTGAAATTTTTGATTGTGTAAATGATTTTAATAAATGATGTTGTTTGATCAGGTGCTGCTGATGTGTTGCCGTATGTGGATTCGGATTTGAAGAAGATTGCGGCCAGAGTGCTTGAAAGCGCTAAGCAGATTTGCTCTTCCAAATTGGTACGGAGTTTGGATTTTCATTTCTAGTTTAAATTATATACTAAAACAAACAGGAATAATTTTGGGACTGAAAGAGTACAAAATTGACTACTTTATGATCACTAAGCTCTGTTTGTTTCATTTTTCCATGTTTTTTTTATAATAATATAATAATAACCGTTTCATCCCAACACACTTTTTTACATTCCTAATACAAACAACACCTAAATGATGTTGTTTACAGGTGAATAATGTGACTCTTGAAGCCATGGAAGGGGATGCTAGAAACGTGCTTTGCGAGGCTGTAGACAAGCATCATGCTTCTATCTTGGTTCTTGGCAGCCATGGTTATGGTGCTATTAAGAGGTATTATAGCCCACCAATTTGTTTATTGTTCCTTTTTAGTTCAAATTTCAAAAGTAGTATGTAACTCTATTCTTACTCTGAATCAGTACTTTACTACTTGCACTACATTTCATTTGTGTTTTGAGTTTACATACTGATTTTTTTAATTATTATTATAAAATTGAAGTTTCTCTTATGAATTTTACTTTAAAAAAGCATCATACTGTATGAGATAAGATTTTAGTGATTATTATGGTGTTGTTTTTCCACGCTTTTTAGGGTATAAAATTGACCCCGATGAAATATTATGGTGTTGTTTTTCCATGCTTTTTGGATTTTAATCTGGAAATTGTTGTTCTTTTGACAGGGCTGTATTGGGGAGTGTGAGTGATTATTGTGCACATCATGCTCACTGCACAGTGATGATTGTGAAGAAGCCCAAGATCAAACATTAAGCTCTGCCTCCATTTCTACAACACTGTAATTTTCTGATCACCAAATAATCTGTATGAAAATTGCAATTAGTTCGTTGCAATTTCAATTTTCTCTATTATTTGAAACTATGACCTGCATGAACAACAACTGTCTTTGTCTTTGTAATACTCTGTAGTCTGTAAAGAACATTTTCTGGAAATATATTTATTGAAGGGTGTTTAGTAGTAATTGAAAATTGTATAATTGAATTCTGGCTACTCCCTGGCTCAAGATAACAACCGTGTTTGATCCACAAAAACAGTTTAACAAACATGACTCTTATTTTGAGACGGAAGGAGCATACAGCTCTGATATGATGATTCTTGCTTCGGATTTGGGAAGGGTTGAATTAAACACCTTCTACTTTAAGTGTGTCTGAATTTCGATGTAGTACATAACCATCTCGCACAATTTCGATGTAGTACATAAACATCTAGCACCACTGTAATCTATATAGCTAACACCAATAATTAACGGCTGAACAGAGAACTCGAATAATTCGCTTTTTCTGCCAAATCCAATTGTTCGAAGAATCTTCAGCTTGTCAGGCCTCCGTTATTCATTCAAAATAACCATGCAGACCCGAACTTTTGCCTCTAACTAGATGCTTTGGATGCTGAAGAGAAGGCATTTTGGGTTTGCAATTCGATTTTCTTATCGGTACTGGCGCTTCTGCCCTTGAGGAAATTGGAGTACCATTGTGAAGAGAGGTTAGGATATCTCCTCAGTTGCTTCTCATCCAAATCGACACAAAGTATAATTGTATAATCCATTCTCAATTTATGTATCTTTCTTTCACTTGGCGAAGTGTTTACATTTAACATCTTCAGCTACACAGGACTTAAAAACAAGGTAATCCTTTGTACCTCAAATTGATAAAGACTCGGTTATTTTTGCTAGGAAAATTGAACCATAGCTGTTATGAACAAACATATTGATCGCTAGCTGCTAGCGAGAGAAAACGTTTGAACTCACTAATGAGAGGCTTCAGATGCTGAAGAGATGGAATTTGTGTTCTGAATTTCGATCGTGTTATCGGTTTTGGTGTTTCTACCCTTGAGGAAATTGGAGTACCATTGTGCAGAGAGCTTTGGATATCTTCTCAGTTGCTTGTCATCCAAATCGACATAGCACAGACCAAATCCTACCTTATACCCTCCCATCAATTCAAATCCGTCTAAGAATGACCAGAGAAAGTAGCCCTTGGAATTCGATCCAGCCCTTCACACATTGAAAGATGAAAATGTTCAGAAAGTATCAGAAAAAAAGTTGAATAATTATAAGAATAAAGACACAGAATCCTTTGCAGAAAGAAATGGTAGGGGTTACTATGGTGTTACACATTCTTATAACATCATGTATGATAAAACTTCAAACTTGATTATGATATTCATTTTTCCACCAAAAATCAGTGACTCGCGCAAATTCACGACAACAGGCACTCAACTATTTAACATTAGTTTAGGTTGCACTTCATAATCTTCTGCATCAGTCATTACGAATTTGATTTTTTTTACGTTTTTATTTAGAAATCGATTGAGAGGGCATTCAAGTAAAGAGTTTAACTGCCTAGTGCTAGCACAATGTTGCTTGATATGTGTTACCTTACAGCATCGAGCAAAGATCCAATGTATGACTTTATGTACTTGATCCTTGATGCATCTTCCAGTGTTCCATTGCGTGCCGTCCCTTGACCTGTCAAACAAGGGTCACAAATGGGGAAGAAAAGAGGGTTTCAAACCCAGTTGCAAGAACTATACAAAGAACTGTCACTTAGTGGTTAATGAAATGGCAGACACAAATGAAGTAAAAGACTAGAAGGGAGAACCATTTTCATGAACATAAGTAGCTGGATTTCCATAAGCTGTTTTGAGATATTCCAAAATCTCGTAGAGCCCAGATGAATCTATCTTATCCTGTAACGAAAACAGCGCATATAACACTGGGAAGTGCAAGTTGATAAACAAAAGATTCAAGGACTCCTCTTCGTAGAATTCAAACCTGATCTGATGGTTTAAAATTAGGCTTCCCTGCACAATCCAGAAACCAATACCCGCGTGTTAGTTTTGTTCGATAAATTGTATAGCTATGCAAAATTTCTCAAGAGATGTGAACAGACACAGAAGATTTGCAAATGCGAATTCAAGAAGTGGAAAAAGCAATTTCAGCAAATGATTCATGCTCACATGATATGGTTGATCCCATGTCAGCATTTACATCCCTGATATTCAACTTCAAGCTGCTTGGATCGTCCGTGACATAGATTGTCGAATAATGGTTCATGCCTATGAAATCAAATGAGCCCTTTACAAGCTTTACTTCATTCGACGTAAGGTCTGGAAGCCTGGTTCCAGCATTCTCCTTAATGATTTCTGGATATTCTCCATACACCAGAGGATGGAGAAACCTGCCATAATTGTTTTAAGCATGTCATCCAGTCTTGCTAATTTGCTTGTTTACTAACCTGCAAAGACCATTCATGTAAAACTTACCAGCCAATATAAAAATCTATAGTTCTCTGGGTCGCGACTGCATCTTCTGTAGCATTAGTAGATGGAGCAAACCAAGGAGCAAAGAGGTTTAGTCCCACAAAACCATGTTGTGTGGCCTGCACAATACATTACATCCATCATTCACTTGTAATCTATAACCCTCTTTCACATTCCAAAAAAAGGCTAGCGAAGAGTTTGATCCCAACTTTTGTCGATTCACATTGCTATGAGATGGAGCATTAAAATCATTAGGCAAACTACAATGATCATAATCAACTTTTACAAACTGATATAAATCAAGGTTTGGCATTGTAAGACAGGAATGGAGAATGCAGAATTTCATTTCCCAATGAGAAAAAAGAGGAATTTAAGGAGATACCTTATACTTTCTTCGATACAGCTTTACAACAGAGGAGTGTGCCAGCAACATGTTATGAGCAGCAATATATGGTTCAGTTGAGGAGTTACCCCTAGTACAAACGAATCCAAAAGGCGAAGAGCAACGCCCTGGAGGGGTAAGTCCATTGTCATAACCTCCAATTGCGAACACATTAGCCTCATTTATGGTAGTCCAGTGTGATACCCTGTCTCCAAATTCCTTGAAGCAAACATCAGCATAGCTGGTGAAGTCTCTCCTGAAGTTGCAATACATTTAGATTTTGTTTATAAGCACGCGTATCTTGCGACACAAACCATACACCTTCAGCTCGAATTCAATTGTGTTAGAGTACTAATTATCAATTCTTACACCATTTTTGGACTAAGCCATCCCTTATATTCATCTTCAAGAGCTTGCGGAGTATCCAGGTGGTACAAAGTGACATGAGGTTCTATTCCTGTTTTTTCCAGCAGCAGAATTAAGATACCCAACATGAATAAGATAAAGTTTGACAGATATGACATTGTTCTCCAGCAAGAATGAACTGAACTAATTTTACCATGCTTGATTAGTTCATTGATGAGATTGTTGTAGTATTCCAATCCTTTGGGGTTTACCGGGCCGTTTCCATCTCCAAAAACACAAGTACCAAACATAAGACTAAAGAAGCAAAAGAAAGTAATGGATTCTGATGCAGGGAAGGCAAATTGAAGTCACATACTAGGGATAAGTCTTGCCCATGAAATGGAGAATCTGTAGGCTTCTAAACCAATATCAACCATGAGTTGGACATCTTCCTGAAAAGGTTGAAACTTTCAGTACCAAATTACATCTAATTTCAACTACACGATTGAAATGTGCCAACTAGAATTCTCTCAGATAATCAGCATATCCATGAACAATAAACTGATACCAAGAAGAAAAGTAAATTAGTGGTTACAAAAGAGATGCCTACCTTGTATTTGTGATATTGATCACATGCTACATCTCCACTGGCCCCATTATAGTTTACACTAGTAAATTCTGCCAAGTGTATGCATCTCAATCAGATGATGATAAATCAGGGTCCAAAAAAAAAAAAAAAGAAAACTTCCATCTAAATATACATTGCACAATCTGATTTTGAGTTCAATTCTGCAGCCCAAAACCAAGTCAATGCTACAAAGAGGAGAAGAAGGAAAACATGGAAGAACAAACCATTGTCAGCATGAACATAAGTGTCCCAAATGCTAGCCAGCCTTCCATCTTCAAAAGCAGCACCTTCTACCTATAAACATCATTCATAACCTCAAATATGTGGAAATCATTCATATTGCAAAATTAAAACTCAATTGTGGAAGGAAAAACAAAACAGATAGTACTTGATATGCAGAAGTTCCAGCTCCAAAAACAAAGTCCTCTGGGAAATCATCCCTTGTAAAATTCGCCTCCCCGGAAATCGCCAGAAACAACAACAGCAACAAAATGGTCATGGTAACCAACCTGAACATCCCATAAGTTTGATCCATCACACAGTCACACACTCACTAACTCTTAACTTTGGCTTAGGTTTTTTAGTCTGAAAAGCCCTGAAGTCCTCCGAACTCAATGTATTATTATAGTATAAACTATAAACACATTTACTCCAATATTATAAATACGAGAAAATTCGTCAAGATTGTCTTTTTCTTCTTGTTTCCAAGTTTTTCCAGGAGAAACGGCCAGCTAGAAGGAAAAATACGGCTCTTCAAACTCAAAACCATTGAATCCCCCGTCAATTCACGAGGAAGAAACATTAAGAAAATATGACCAAAGTTTTTATCTTTGATAATACGTCATTCCTCTGATCATCAAATCATCTATATAATATGGAGGAAGAGAACTTTGGTACTCTCTCCAATAATTCCGTCCAATAAATATTGTCCACTTTGGCCAAAAAATTTTGTCTCAAATTTAATTGTCCAATTTGACTTTTTATGGAATATGTTACACATTTGCCCTTTAATTTGCCCTTTAGTCTAGTGACTGGAAACAAACCCAGTTCCACCCCATTCCAATTCATCACTTATGCCTTTTCCGCCGCCCTTGTACGATACTACTACTTCGCCGGAAGTTTCCGACGCCGATAATCATCCTCCGACAATAACCGTCTGGAGCTCCGCTATGAAGCAGGTAAAGGGCTGCCGATCATCCGGGCTGAAGTTGATTTCCCGTTGAGCTCTGTTGATTACCTCGACGATGATCCGGATGAGGAGTTCGTCGAAGGACTGGTTCCTGAATTACAATAAAGGGATTGCGGCCGGAGCTAAGATCAGTGGATTTACTGACTGGAGGCACTTGGGACATTCGACGGTGGATTTCGCCTGGGGTGGTCCGTTGACGGTTTTCCCACTTTTCCGGAATCTGCTTGGAAGCGTTGAACCTTTTGTTATCATATATCCACTCTGTTCAAATGGTGAGGAGTATGTGGCCTCTTGATCAATAAAGAACGTCAGCATTTGCCGGCTAATTACTTGAAGAGGATGAAAAAATGGAGACTTGGATTTGGGTAGGTCCGGTAGGGTATATCCGGAAATTCTATCCATAATATAGTTAAATTTGACCAAAAATAAATTCTCGGGACTGAGAGAGTATTTAAGTTATAACCGTTAATTTTGTTACCGGGGTGGATGGTTTTTTTCCTCGTAAAAGTCTTTTTCTTTTTCTTTTTTTTTACTTTGTTTAACAGTCGATTGTTCAATTTCATTATCAATCCTCGTCCTCACATTCATTATCTGGGTTTGATGATTTTTGTCAACTGCAAATAATCTGAATTTTTTAAGTGGAATTTATGGAGATGGTAATAATCGCAATGAATGAACAGATTTTTGTTGGTTGTCATTATCAATACTTCACAACAAATTAGAAGAAATTACGCTTCAAAATGGACGGCATGTCCCACTTTTCGATCTCCCCTGTTAGCTGATAAGGAAAAAAAAAAAAAAAAGCTTTTCTTCCTTTGTAATTTCTGCGGTAGTTTGGCTGCTTAGGTTGATTAGGGAGCTTTTATCTCGAAATTGGGTTGTAAATATTAATCATGCTCATAAAGAATGTAATGTAATAACTGATTTTCTAGCCTCATTGGCGACAACATAGCCGGGTGGTTTAATGCGACTGGATTCGCCGTCTCCAGGGGGATTAACCATAACATTGTAGGGGTTTGTTCCTCATACGGATTGTTGTTTAATTGCAGCTATAGCTCTTTTGCGACAAATAATAATAATAATAATAATAATAATAATAAATAAATAAATAAATAAATAATTCTTGCGCTAGTGCAATAAGCACGAGATTAATTTTTTTGGAATGGAGAAAGTACTAAAATACGAAAATATATATTATATAGTATATTATAAAAGAGAAACCTGAGAGAGAAATTGGTTACGCATTCCTAGAGTGTCACATTCATAATAAAAGAATTTCGTATAATAACAAATAAAGTTTCCATAAATTTAATAAATATAATATTAATTTGTTTAATTTTTTTCATCCTACTATAAAACATAATATGACCTCTACTTTTATTATCACTAATATTAAACTCTTTCACAATTTACACAATATTTAATTTGACATTATATACAAATGTATATTTTGATATTTGTAAGTAAATCTTATCATTTATATTTAGTCATATGATCTACACCATCACAACTCATCAACATTATTTGTTTTTGTCACAATTTTTTTAATAATTTTATAATATCGTATTTAGATATATTACGTACATCGCACGAGTTTAACATTTAGTTACTCGATATGAAAAAACAAAGTTAGCTGGGAAAGCATCCCTTGTAGTAAAATTCTGCTCGCCGGAAACCATCATCATCTCCAACAAAAACAATATATTAACATGACCATTACGACCAATCTGAACATCCCGTAATTTTGATCCATCACTATATCACACAGTCACTCTTCCTAGTGTTTTTCTTGTTTCCTTTCTTTTTCTTCCAAGGACCAAATGGACAAAACTTACAAAGCCTTCTACTCTCATATTTGAATAAGAATTGGAGATAAATGTGATTTAAGTTTTAGTCTTTGATTAAAGAGAAGGGAAAAAAAAATCTATCGAATAAATTATGGAGGACGAAAAATTAAAAAATCAAAAAAATAAATAAATTAAAACTCGGAAAACTTTTTTTTTTTTTTTTGGTCCAAGTTGAATGGCTTTTGGTGGTTAGTTTGATTTTTTATTATGAAATTTATTGGTCAGCAAATCAATTTTTCTAACCCCACTCACCATCAGGGCATCAATCCTCGTCACTACTATCTCTATCTCCTTTGACTTCAGGGATTTTGTTAAAGCTTTAAATGATCTTGTTCTTTTCTCTTCTCAGGAAATAGTATATTAGCAAGGAATGAGCGCATTTTTGCTGGCTGGTTGGTTGGTTGGTTTTCAACTTTCATTCATAGTCTACATTTGGCCAAACATCTTTTCAGTCCTTAACCATAAAAAAAAAAAAAAAACATGCAAACTTTATCTTATCTGTCTAAATCTAAAACAACATATCTTTTTTTGATACTAGTAAAAACAGAAAGGTAAAATCGTTTGTTTCTCTATAGGCAAGTCTTGCTTTGTACATTCCAATATCTAAGTCTCTACTGTGCAAAATCACATCAATTTTTCATACCACTCACCCTATAGACTCCCCTTTTGGGTTATCAGTTTCTCTCAATGTAAAGCAAAGCAACAACATTGACACAATTTCAAGGCGTTCAAACATGAATTTGGGCATCTATGTATCATTTTGGTCTACCAAGACCAAAGCTAGATGCTGCTTCTTCCTCCTTTCAAAAAGTTGGAGTACCATTCTGCAGAAAGCTTAGGATATCTCTTGAGTTCTTTGTCATTGATCATATCCACATAAATTAGGCCGTACGCTGACTTGAATGCATCCAATAACTCATAACCATCTAAAAACGACCACAAGAAATACCCTTTGGTGTTGGAGCCATTCCTGAGTAAAAACATAGGGAAAAATGGATATAGCTATGAAGAAGGTTTATCTGCGACAAAGCGCCAGGCATAAGTTCATCAGGGATATTAACCTGATAGCATCAAGCACAGCACCAATGTAAGCACTCACGTACTCCACCCTTGTTGGGTCATTAACAGTTACGCTGCGATTTGTTTTCTGACCTGCCATAAGTGTAGATTTCATCATGTTTAACAATTTCAGACTAGAACACTTTCTAATACAGGAATTCTGAATCGAACAGAGAAAGAAAATGTGGACCATTTTCCTGGATAAAAATCGGCGGGTTGCCATAAGCTTCCTTGAAGTACTCCAGATTTGAATATAAACCTGATGGTAATACAGAATACTGAACCAAGAAAAGACTTAGTCACAACTCGCAAGAAGAATCATGTTAAGAAATATCTACACAACTAAGGAGGCAATAAATTTATTCAGTAATGAAATGGATTAGTGACTTGACATTCCCTTTTTTTATGTTACAAAACACTTAAAGGTTGTCGCTTTGATAATTTAAGAAAGTTGGATCATGTGGCTGACGGCCACTGGGAATGCCATTGAAATTTTATTAAAAGCAAAAAGCTACACCTTTAAATCTAACCTCAACTGGTGGAAACTGACCATTTCCATCAACTGCAAATCAAAGGAAAATAATCAGAAGTTAGTAGCAAATAACCGGGAACTACTTTTCAGATGGAAATTGCATTCTATTTAAGAAAAACCTCGAGCCAGCCAATATACAGGAAAAATAAGGAACCTATGGTGAGTGAATTAGCATCAAGGACAATATGAGGAAGGAGAACGGATGATTGAGTCCACGGATCTATCTAAAACAGAAAAAACTAATGACATTTGCACTCTTACTGATAAATAAACAATCTTACGTATGATCTCGAGAGCCATGTCTCCTTTAACATCCCTTATCTCGTTTTCAAGGCTGCTTGAATGGTCCTCAGCACAAAATGAAGTATAATGATTGAGTCCAAAGAAGTCAAAGGAGCCCTTAACTAGCTTGGACTCAGCTGCGGAGAAGGCTGGAAGTCTGGTACCGCTGTTCTTCTTCATTACATCAGGATAGTCGCCATAAATCAAAGGGTTGACAACCCTGCAGCCAAATTGGAAAACAGCATAAAGAGGAAGCCTTCTTATTGCATATCATTGTTATGAAGTTCATATTTTCATGGAAATCAAAACATTAATCGACTCACCAACCAATATAGTAATCAAGAGCTCTTTGGGCAGCAATAACATCGGCTGTACTATCTGTACATGGCTTAATCCCAAAAGAGTACACATTTATTCCCACAAAACCGTGCTGCGTCGCCTGCATTCCAAATGAGTAACTTCATTCTCCAACACAAGTATCACTATTGTATTTCGACAATGCAAGCTATTCCAATATGAACATCTTGTGAAAAAATATTGTTCAGGTTATTGAGGTCGTATTTTGTTTATCATGAGCACTGAATACATACATGAGAAATTCTCCATTCAGTGTTCAAGTTTCATATCATACAAGAAAACCATTATGAAAGTGGTAATACATTAAACTTCCGGTCTTGCAAGGGCAGATAAATGTTGTATTAACAGAACCTCTTTGGAACTTAGATGAAAAAATTGCATTCTTTTTCGAAATGGTCATTCCTTTGAACTTAATCGGCACATAAACCCAAATCCTAGGAATGTATCAGTAAATATTCACATCAGAGCGATTTGCCTGCTCCTATCAGACACCAAATTCCAAAATGATATCCACAGAATAAAGGAAACAACTCTAGATTATAATACAGAAAACAAAAAAGCCATAAAGGATACCTTGTACTGTTTCTTATACAATTTCACAGCAGTTGAGTGCGCCAGTAACATGTTATGAAGCGCAATGTAGGGCTCAATTGTTGAGTTACCCTTGGTACAGGCCTGCCCGAATGGATAGGAACACCGGCCAGGGGGCATTTGATTAGAATCATAACCACCCAATGCAAAAATATTGGGTTCATTCAAAGTAGTCCAATGTAAAACTCTGTCCCCGAATTCTTTGAAGCATACATCGGCATATGCAGCAAAGTCCTTCCTGAAATTAACAGACCACAATTTCCTCCATATTAATCATTTGTCTTTCGTCACGTTATGATCATAAATTTTTAAAGGTTATACGTACACAATCTTCCGACTAAGCCATCCCCCATATTCATCTTCAAGTACCTGTGGTGTATCTATGTGATACAGGGTAACATATGGTTTGATTCCTGCATTGATTACAGGATATTTTACACAATAGTACAAGATCCAAAAACCGAATGCAAATCTCTAAGTAGTTAATGAAATTGGTACTAACCATGGCTGATTAGTTCGTTAATAAGGTTGTTATAGTAGGCTAATCCCTTCGGGTTGACTGGTCCCCTTCCATCTGAAAAGAGGGAAACCAGGCATAAGAAACCACAATGTAAACTGTAAAGGCCTCATTTGAACATTCCGTAGCAGTGGGTAATATACTTGGAAGGAGTCTTGACCATGAGATGGAGAATCTATAGGCCTCCAGTCCCATCTCAGCCATGAGTTTAATGTCTTCCTGCAATAGATTAATTAGCTTAATCAGCTATGTCAAAATCCATGATAAAATTTCAAAGTCCAAACCAAATTGCTAGGTAAACGGAACATTGCAACCACAGAAAATTTGTTTAAAGAACCAGAAATGAAATCGGCAACATTCATTAGGAAAAAGGGATCTCATAGACTTGATTAACTTGCAGTTTCCTACATGATTAGCAATGATGAAAAACTAATTTCATAGTCATTACAGGGAACTTTAAAGTCAATCCACCTACCCCAGCATGCTGTTTTTTCGGGCCACAAAAAACAGCTAAAGCAAAGCTAACTCAAGTGATTTCATATCTGTAATAACTACTGCAACAGTATTCAACCATCACTTTCTTCATCTGATCAAGCATTTATCATGCGGGTTACAGACATGTAAATGGACCTATTCATGTTATCAAGTGTTGATTTTTTCATGTATTTCTATTTCCCCATTAATAGTTGTCAGTTGCCAGACCAGAAAAAGATCTATTGTGTATTGTGTACTACTGTGACATCACCTTATTGTGTTTGAGTGAGGAGAAAAGATAAAGGCTAAGGTTAACAATTAGAACCACAGAGAATGGTGCATAAGCATCCAAATTCAGGGAAGCACCTTATACTTATGATATCCATCACAAGCAACATCTCCGTTGCCGCCTTCGGGATCTGATCAGGGGCAACAAGCACAAAATGTTGTCAAATTGCATCAATTCAAGAAGAAAAACATGATCTTGGCACATGCACATGCGAAAGAGTAGTGAACTCAGAACTATATAGCAGGTTAAATCTAATTGATCAAGAGACTTCATTCTCAAGTACAATCTCCAAGTGAATGCATTATGCTAATTCAAAGCTGATCGCGACAAAATCTTCCTCAAAGATTGTCCACTCAACAAATTACCAAGTGACAAAATTCAAGCCAAATACATGACAAACAACATCACCAAAGAAAAAAAAGAAGCAAGATTTATGGGATAAGGTTCTAAAAGATTTGAAGATATACATACGAGAATGTGCAAAGGTGTCCCAAATGCTTGGAGTCCTCCCATCTTCAAATGCAGCTCCCTCAACCTGCAGAACAAACAAATAAAAACCAGCCCAACTCATATAATCAAGGGGGAAAAAAAAACTTGTAAAAAATTAAAAAAATAAAAAGATTTAAGAAACAAAAAAAAAAAAAACACACACACACACTGACTTGATAAGCAGAAGTTCCACATCCAAAAACAAAGTCAGGAGGGAAGTCAGTTCTAACATAATCATCCACCACTTTGCTGGAAACCATCATAATCATTCCTAGAAACAGCAGTGCATTTAATGGACTTCTGAAGCAGCTCTTCTGAAAATTTGTTTTCATCTCAGTTCCCAGTTCTCACAGCCTCACAGTTTAAAAGTTATGTTTGAATTGTCATATTCTTCTTCTGTATAAAAGGGGAAAATAACCCCCCAATTTTAAAAAATAATTAAAAATTTTGGGGAGGAAGAACATGGCCTCTTTTATAATTCCTGCCAGTTTGAAGACTTCTCATTTATTCCATAATAATTGAAGGAAGAAAGAACGTACAAGAAACCCAGACAGGAAGGACACGTTAATTTACCCCATTGGCCACAACTTCACTATCAAAATCCGCATTACACCTCCCTAAACAATTTATTTATCTTTGTTAAGCTGAAACCCTAGTTGGAATGGACTAAAACAATATGATAAATAATTCTCGTGGGGTGCATGGAGTATATTTTAGAGGATCATAATGATATATATATATATATATATATATATTTGTACAATAACTAGTGGGACACAAAATCTCTTACATGATTTCACTAAAATCAACTTGAAGGTAACTGAAAATAGATTGATCACTTAAAATGATTGTCCTATTTGAATTTTTTTTTTTTTTTGGGTAACGTGGGAAACCCCACTAGAGTCAACCCTTCACTTTTTGTTGGAGTGGCCTCGTAGTTTTACCACTGAATCAACTTCTCATTCGCAATTTTTTTTATTATAATTTAAATTAAAAAAGAAATCCAAACTGCATAATAATTTCGAGGCGGAGAGAGTACATAATATTCATTACCTAGGTGTAATACCTAAGAATATTAACAACCTCGTTGTTTGGTGAAATTATGATTTGTGAGTTGAACCTGAACGATTTTTCTAGTACACGTGAAATGTATTTATTTTTTCTCAAAAAAAAAATAAATAAATAAGATGAACTTTCGATTTTCGACATCAGTGGTAATTTGGCATTTTGGCAATGTCAAAAAGCTGATGAGTCCACCCGGGTTGGATATCGCCGCCATCAATGGTGTATGAACAGCTCTGTTGCTTACTGCTTCTGGTCCATTTTTAATTTCTTTTCAAGACAAAAAAAAAAACACTCAGATGAATGGTCCAACCAAAATGTATCGAATTTTATGTATAGCATGACGACACATCCAGAAGAACTGTTTCGATTTTACTGTTCTTTCTTTCTTTGTTTGAGGGATGGAAACAACAAAAAAAAAAATAGTAATAATAATAATGATGGGAGTTTCAATAGGAGATATGGGTTTTTGCATTAGCAGATAAGATAGTTTGCTGAAAATCACTATTGGCATTGCTTCTTCCATGCAAGAAATTGGAGTACCAGTGAGCTGAGAGTTTTGGGTATCTTTTCAGCTCCTTATCATTCAAATCCACATAGTATAAACCAAAAGCCGACTTGTATCCATCTAGTAATTCCAGACCATCTAAGAAGGACCATACGAAGTATCCTCTCGCGTTTGATCCATTCCTTCAACCATATTCAGCAGACGAAATTTTCAGGGAATTCATCAAAGAGAGAGCGAACTGGAAGATGAAAAAATGTGGCATAGGTAACAATGCAATGGCATGTTTGTCTTTTAATCATCAATGCCATTTATATGAATCTGTCCTCGTCAACTAAGTCGAGAAATTACCATATCTCAAGCATCCTATGGCTTTTTTCAGAGTTTTTTCTCATGTTCATGGATTAAGATGCTTAGGTGAAAAGTTAGAAACATACCTCAAAGCATCAAGTAAACCTCCAATGTAGGCTTGCAAGTAATCCACCCTCGATGTGTCATTTAGGGTTCCATTGCGCTCTGTAATTTGACCTGCCAAAACACACAAATGTCTTTGTTTAACTAACTACCCTGAGTTTTTAAAGTACAAAGCTTTCACATCCCTGCATTTCAATGACCAGCAGAAGCGATTATTACAGTATGGCAGCACCTTTTCAGGATCAGCCCAACATAATTCAAGCATTATGTGGCTGATGCATATCTTTCATATAACTATCGATTGCATCGCATATTTCACAAGGAAAAATGGTGCAATAATACTGGGACATCTTGTTGGTGTTATGGCAGCTAATTTTGGTTATTTGGGACAGAACTACTCTCAAACTCAACAAGGTATGCTTGTGTTAGGGTACTATAGTCTAAATGGCAAAAATTAACTCTGACAAAAGCAGGCAGACTATAATGTGCAAACATAGTTCAAGGATTACAGTAACATAATTCATGACCTATTGACAGATGCAATTGTAGGATGACTACTATCTGCAACAGGTACATTCATTGAACCCTTCCTTTCAGTTATCACTGCACGCAAGATATTTATTCAAGACGGCGTAAACCACAACTGCACATGCAAAACATACATAAGAATGTTGCCTGTGTAGTGTGTGAGAGAGAATGATAGAGTACCATTTTCATGGATATAGATTGGAGGATTGCCATAAACTTGCTTCAGATAGTCTAGAGTGTCATGGAGGCCCGCAGGTGTCACAGGAAACTGAGACGTTAAAAGAGGTTTAAGACACAATGAGTAGACACAACACAAATGAAATGACAGAAGATTCAAGCCTCACCTGGCCTTCTGGTCGTATGGTAACTAGAGAAGCAACACAAGAAGACGCATAAAAGAATGACAATCAGTTGCATAAAAATGACCAGGCCGAATTAAACTTGAGAAGATGAAAACAAGAAGTCAGCATCTAGTGTCATACATTGGAGTCTGATTTGCATGTCAGCTGAAACATCAAGTCTTGGCATACTGGAATCGCCATCCATCACAGCCATTGTATAATAATGGTTCACCCCTACAAAGTCAATCGCACCCTTAACCAGCATAGATTCTGATTTGGTGAAAGCTGGAAGTCTTCTGCCGGCATTCTTCTTCATTATGTCAGGATAGTCTCCGAAAAACAGAGGATCAAGGAACCTGTCACACCAACCGGAGAGAGTATAGAAAGAGCATCTTATGCCATAACTGATACCAGTAACTTTTGATGGAATGCACCAAACAGCGGATCAAAGAAAACTTGCTAGAATGTTCTGTAACCTACCAACCGATGTAATAATCACGACCTCTTTGAGTTGCAAGGATGTCGTTTTTCATATCAGTACCAGCAGTAAACCAAGGGATTAAGATATTTAGTCCAACTGACCCATGTTGAGTTTTCTGCAACAAAATAAAATCAAACAGTCTAGTGATTTTTCATACAGACATTGACATAAACTGATAAAAGTATTAATTTATAAGAATAACAACATAACCCAAAGTTCTGTTTTTGGAACATGTGTATGCAAAACTAGACACGCAAGACACTGATATTCCTGAAGAATGAAATTTCATCACTATGCCCAAAATCCTTAAGAATGGAACAAGTACCTTGTACTTTTCTCGATACAACTTCACAGCAGACGAATGTGCAAGCAAGATATTATGAGCAGCAATGTATGGTTCCGTGGAAGAGTTACCCAAAACGCAGTAATTGCTTCCTGGTAGAGAGCAACGGCCTGGTGGCAGAAAACCAAGATCATAACCACCCAAGATAAACGCATTCGCTTCATTAAAGGTTGTCCAATGGGAGACCCTGTCGCCGAATTCCTTGAAGCACGCATCAGCAAACGAAGTGAAGTCTTTCCTGAAACCATCAGAAGAGGTTCTATAAACAATATTGTCCACAAGTACCTTTTCATGATGTAAGAAAAGAAAACAAGGCAAAGGTCAGATAACACATACACAAATTTCCTACTTAGAACGCCACTATATTTGTCCTCCAGAGCCTGTGGCAGATCGTCATGAAAAAGTGTAACATGTGGTTGAATACCTGCATAATCAGATAGTTGTGTAAATGCCTAGAGATTTTACCACGCAATTCTTACTTGCTTTGAGAAAGAAATTCTGTCATCATTTCTCATAATCAATTTTATGAACGAAAAATAGCAGAAAAAGGAGAAATATTAGGGGAATATGGCTGCAACCATTGCTAACAATCTCATTTATGAGACTGTTGTAATATTGCACTGCTTTGGGATTCACAGGTCCTTCTCCATCTGAAAAGAGAAAGAAAAAAAAACACTCAATCATGAGATTCTATGCCTCCAAATCCTTTGCAGGCATCATCGTGATATGTTATCGAACATACTAGGAAAAAGCCTGGACCAAGAAATGGAAAATCTGAAGGCCTCCAGGCCCGTATTCAGCATGAGTTGAACATCTTCCTGGAACTCAAAAAGCAATGGAAAATCATGACTTTGTGGCCTCATTGACATGCTAGTAATTATTGATTGCACCTTATTTTTTTGTGGTACTTTGGCATAGAAATGGAAATTTTCAAGTAATTATTTCTCTTTAGCTAGCCAATCAATACACCAGACTGACAACATAAGTTAATGCACCTTGTATTTGTGGTACATATCAGACGCAACGTCTCCAGTTGCCCCATCATATTTACCTGATTCAAGAAAGAAATATATACCTCAGCCAAGCTCCAGTATCATTTACTGAAAGGGATCTTGTATCTCAATACTTCTCAAAACAGTAAAAGGGGGCTATTACTCCACATTCCTTCAGTTGGCCTTAGCCGAAAATGTCCCAAAAAATGGAGAGAAGAAAAGGAAGATGAACATACCCGCATGAGCAAAGGTATCCCAAATGCTAGGAGTCCTTCCATCTTCGGATGCAGCCCCTTCGACCTGATGATAAAAATCAATGACTAATGCCTAATGATGATTTATATACGGTAAGTAAACAGGAAATGAAAGTTGATGAGTAAACTAAAAAGTAGCGGGAAGTCTCCGTAAATATAGAAGAAAATTGGATGATCAGATGAGTGACCTGATAGGCAGAAGAACCAGCTCCGAAGACAAAATCGGCTGGGAAATCAGTCCGGCTATAGCTGTCCGCAGCCAAGACTGTGAAGGGAAGATATATCTGCAGGAGAAGAAGCACCAGGGCAAGAGTAGCACAGAAGAAGCTTGTTGAGATGGCCGGCATCTTTTTGCTAAACAAAAATCTTCAAGCCTTTTGGCCAACATATACACAAGGTACATAATTTGATATTGGCTAAAGTCTATAGTTTTGTGTGGTTGTGAATTCCAGCGCCCAAATCAGGTAATGACAGTGAAGATCTTGTCTTTGTACTTTCTCATTCATTAGTGAGACAAGACACGAATGTGGGATGCGAGGATTCCTTCTCCTTCTGCCATTTGTGGGAATTCCGTCCAAGATTCAGATTAGAAAATTCCAGGCAAACTTTCCTTTCTAGCTCCTGACATTTTACATTACCTTAATTCCTTAACCTGTTTTTAGCTCAGTTCAAGGTTTCTTTTTTTTTTTTCTGTTTTTTTTTTTTTTGGGTGAAAGACTGTTCAAGGTTTCTTTAGGCTCTTCTCATAAGCATTTTTGCCCAATGCATTTATCCGTCCGTTTTACTGAATGAATTCGATATCTCTATCATTATTACAATATTCACATATCTTTTTCAGTGTATTGATTGAATTAAAAAGAGACCCAGGAGATAACCATCCTGCGAAATATAACCACCCTCAATCCCAAACAAGAAGAAAAAGAAGATACCATTCAAATTGCATTCCAAGAAGAAAAACATAGTCTTGGCACACACACACACACACACACACATATATATATATATATATATATATATATATATATATATATTACATCCAACAGACTAATCAAACCAATCCCATTATCCCAATAAGAAAAAGTAGGACTAACAATTTCACTGTCAAAGCAACAAAAGAATCCCAACAGTAAGATTAAACTGAAAATGTCCAACTGTTGTCAACCTGAAAGTAACTGGAAAATTTGATTAAAAGAGTACATATTATTATTTCCATCAGTGGCAATTTGGAATTGCCCGTGGGTCACATATCTCCATCAATGGAATAACTGTGAACTCAGATGAATGATCCAACCAAAAAGTTATCTAATTATAGGAGATGTGGCTTTTTCCAGAAGCAGATAAGATAGTTTGCTGAAAATCATCTGTGCCATTTTGCAGATTTGTAGCAGTAGTGGCATTGCTTCTTCCATGCAAGAAATTGGAGTACCAATGAGCTGAGAGTTTTGGGTATCTTTTCAGCTCCTTATCATTTAAATCCACATAGTATAGGCCATAAGCTGACTTGTATCCATCCAGCAGCTCAAGACCATCTAAGAAGGACCATACGAAGTATCCTTTTGTGTTCGATCCATTCCTTTCATACCATTTTCAACCACGAAAAAAGAAATCAGGCGAAATGTCCATTTCGAGAAAGGAAGAGTGATGATAGAGACAGTGAATTACCAACATCATGTTCTTTTTCAGATGTAGTACACTCTTTTTATCACATTGGTGGCATCAGTATTGGTACCACTGAATGCCTCTGCGAGGCATTTATTGAGGTTGTTTCATTAAGTGCTTGGAAAAAGGGTGAGAAATTGAGGGCATACCTCAAAGCATCAAGCAAACTTCCAATGTAGGCATGCAAGTATTCCACCCTTGATGTATCATTTAACGTTCCATTCCGTGGTGTAAATTGACCTGACAATTATTGCCAAGACACAAAATCAAAGTGTTTTGTTTTCACATCCTTGCATCAAAAAACTTCTGGCAAAAAAAAAGAACCCTGAAGACTACAAGGGTTTGCAAAAATGAAGACGGTAATTTGGAACTACAATATCAGGATATATGTTGTTTCATGGAATGTTTGCCTGAGCAAGAGAGAAAGAGAGAGTACCATTTTCATGGATATAGATTGGGGGATTGCCATATACTTCCTTCAGATACTCAAGTGTGTTATAAAGACCCGATGACATCACACGAAACTGAGAACCATCTCTAAGACTCAATGAGTGGAGACAACAGCAAAAATGAATTGAGACAATTGACATAAGATTCAAGCCTCACCGATTCTTGTGGTACTATGCTAACTGGATAGGAAACACAAGAAAGCACAAAAAGAATAATATCAGTTGCATGAATATGTTAAGACCAAGATAGTAAACAGGTATTCAGCATCTAGTTTCATACATAGGAGTCTGATTTCCATGTCAGCTGAAACATCAAGTTTTGGGATACTGGAATCATCCATCACGGGTACTGTAGTATAGTGGTTCACCCCGACAAAATCAATTGCACCCTTTACCAGAATAGATTCAGATTTGGTGAATGCTGGAAGTCTTCTGCCGGCGTTCTTCTTCATTATGTCGGGATAGTCCCCAAAAAACAGAGGGTTAAGGAACCTGTGACCACAGAGAGACAGTAAAATGAGCTTTTCAGGCCAACAAATATGCTGATAACTTTCAGTTAAATGTATCAAATAAAGGATCAAGAAAATGCTACAATGTTATGCAACATACCAACCGACATAGTAATCAAAGGCTCTTTGAGTTGCGAGGATGTCATTTGTCGTATTGGTATGAGCAGTAAACCAATAGATAAAGATATTTAGTCCCACTGAACCATGTTGGTTCTTCTGCAGTAGAAATCAATGAGTAATTCACTTTTCAGGGACATATAGTGGAAGGTATGTAAATTTGGAAGAATAATTACATAACCAAAACCAAAAATTCTCTCTTTATAAAGTGAGATTTCTTCACAATGTGCAAGAAACTGATATCATCGTAACAGATAGCAGTGGATCTCTTAATCAAAAATCCACAATAGTGGATATAATACCTTATACTTTTCTCGATACAATTTCACAGCAGATGCATGTGCAAGCAAGATATTATGAGCAGCGATGTATGGTTCTGTGGAAGAGTTGCCCAAAACGCAATCTACTTTTCCTGGTATAGAGCAATGGCACGGTGGCAGGAAACCAAGATCATAACCACCCAAGACGAACACATTTGCTTCATTAAAGGTTGTCCAATGGGAAACCCTGTCGCCAAATTCCTTGAAGCACACATCAGCATACGCAGTGAAGTCTTTCCTGAAGTAAAGACAAGATGTTCTGATAAGAACATTGTACATTAAAGATGTATGAAAAGAAAATAGGAAAATGTCGGATCTGCATACACGAATTTCCTACTAAGCACGCCACTATATTTGTCCTCAAGTGCCTGTGGCAGATCATCATGAAAAAGTGTAACGTGTGGTTGAATACCTGCACAATCAGAACTTGAGACACCGAGCTAGAGAACAGATGGATTAATGCCTAGGAGTTCTACCATGAAATTCTTCTTTGCTTTGAGATAGTTCTGACATCATATCTATTAATTGATGATATCAATGCAAAATGCCTGAAAAACAAGAAATATGATATGAGGATGGAATATGGCTACAACCATGGCTAATAATCTCATTTATAAGACTGTTGTAATATTGCACTGCTTTGGGATTCACAGGTCCTTCTCCATCTGAAAAGAAGAAAAAAACACCCAATCATGAGATACTATGCCTCAGAATCCTTCACAGGCGTCATCTTGATATGTTGTCGAACATACTAGGAATAAGCCTGGACCAAGAGATGGAAAATCTGAAGGCTTCCAGGCCTGTATTCACCATAAGTTGAACATCTTCCTGCAATCCAAAAAGCAAGAAAACCTTGAACATTGGCCTTATTGATGACGGTATGACCTTCAAAGGCTATGATCTACGTCATCTCTTTCTTATTTCCATTCCCCAAATATCCAAAATATAGACCAAATGTTCTCATGATGCACTTTTGATGAGAGATGAGGTTCCTAGGGTTGTGTCACCTCTATCATATAAGGTAAATCAGAAAAAGACGAAAATAAAAAAAACAGCCCAGAGAACTTGATACAGGTAATCACATCCCTTTGTTGGAAAGTAAGAGAATATTCATAATATTAAAGACACAGATGCATCACCCCTCCTTCCCCCTTTCATTTGTTTATGCTTTGACATGCGAACTCAGTTTTGTGTTACTGAAACATTTGCAGAGAAATGTTTTAGAAAGCCAAATAATGTGGAGCAAGTAATTTCTCTTTTAGATAGCCAAATAATACACCAGAGATTAATATACTTGAAGGCACCTTATATTTGTGGTACATATCACACGCTACATCTCCAGTTGCCCCATCATATTTACCTGAATCAGGAAAGGATAAATACATCAGCCTACCTCCTGTATCATTTACTGAAAACGACCCTATATATTTCTCAAAACAGTAAAGGCTGTTAGTACTTCACATTACTCAATGCATTCTATACAGGTGGCTTTGACCTTAAATGTTCCAAAAATGGGAGAGAAGAAAAGGAAGAGGAACATACCAGCATGAGCAAACGTATCCCAAATGCTAGGAGTCCTTCCATCTTCAGATGCAGCCCCTTCAACCTGATGATAAAATCTTCATCAATGTGATGAAAAAGAATGACTAATGCCTAATGATTACATATTGTAGCTTTGCAAAACTGAGTTTTGCCTGCTAAGTGACTGATGACATTAAGCTACCGCCTTATATCTAAGACACATTTACTATGACCCAGAAGAAACGAGTACATCATCCAAGTACTGTTGCCAAATGAAGTGAGGTCATAAATTCAGGTAGCAGCAACAGTATCTTATACAAAACCAGAAGATAAGGCAGAGTACTCTAGGCCTTAATAGCCTGAATCCTGGCACAATTTAAGAGCTGCTTTGCCCGGAGGCTGGAGCTGACTTTTTTTAATCATGTCAGACACTCTGAATGTCAGAATTTGATCAATAACAAGTGAGCCAATGAAACCTATTAAAGAAAACCTTAGTACATGGCATCTGAAGATAGATCAACAGATAGATAAAAGCCCAAAAAAAAAAAAAAGAGCTGATAAGTAAACTAAGAAGTAGCTGCAACTGTGTGTACAGAAAAATGGGTGGGGACCTGATAGGCAGAAGAGCCAGCTCCAAAGACAAAATCGGCCGGGAAATCAGCCCGGCTATACCTGTCTGCAGCCAAAACTGTGAAGGGAAAGTATGTTTCCAGGAGAAACACCACGGCAAGAGTACAGTAAAAGCACATTGAGGTGGTCAGCATCTTTTTGCTAAACAAAATCTTCAAGCTTTTGGCCAACATACAAGCACATCATTATGATGGACTGATTGATTCAGTCCAATGGTTAGTGTCTGGTTTTGTGTGGTTGTAAATTTCATAGCCCAAATCAGAAATGAGAGTGAAGATCTTCTTTGTACTTTCCCTTGCTTACTGACAAAAGGAATACTAACATTTAACATAGGTTGGTGGGACGCGAGGACGACTCCTCCGTATATTTTACATTACCTCACCTCAATTCCAGATTTTTAGCTCACTGTAAGAGATCAAAATCAATCAATTTATGAAACCATTTTGGGCTTCGATTAGGCTGGTCTTCCTATAAGCATTACAAATGAATTACTCAGTTTTTGCCCGATGAATTCATTTACTCATTCATCAAAAAATCATCGACCTATTTCACTGATTCCACGTCTCGAATATTTTATACATCCTTTTTACCATTTTGATTGAATCAAAAAGTTGCGCAGCGTGCGGTAACATAGCAGAAAGTGCCTGGAGTCGAATTAAGATGCTTCAATCTAAGCATCCATGTCTCAGGCATAACCGCAAGAAGCAATTTCTTTATTGAATGCCAGATCCTGTGCAGTTCTCAATCTAATAATAATCATGGCTCAACCAACAAACAAGAGGCTAGAGTTTCTTCTCACTTTTCAGCTTCAGCAAAGTGATAAACCCGTTCGGAAAACCAGTTCTTTAAGGTTAAAATCGTGCATATTTCTAGATCAAGGATGGACAGGGCTTTTGGTGCTTTTTACCAAATGGAGGTAAAAAAAAAAGCTAATACTGAAATACAACCATCCTGATTCCAAAACAACAGAATCAAAACATCTCTTCTGAAAAAATAATACAAAATAAAGATTCACTAGGAGTAATGGACAAACAACTGCAAAATCTGCAGCCTACTACTACTAATCCAAATTAAGCATGACAAAATACAAATGAAAGCAAACATCCTTCCACGAGGTAGCTTATTCTCAAAATGCCCCATCATCGACCCTTTAGAAGTGGCAAAAGAACCCAGATTCCAGCCAGAATGTCCATTCTCGGGTGCTTTTATAACTCCTCTTCCCGAGTTTCCCATCACCGCCCCCCAACCCATCAACAGCAATTGCTTCAGTACATCAGCAAAGATAGTAGCAGTGTAAATAGTAGCACAAAGTTAACCATCCAAACTACTTGCTCAAAAATCTAAGCTAAAATACATTTGAAAAATCAAGGCATCCTAACATTTCATCATGAGAGGCAAGTCTGCTGGGCTCAAAATGTTCTCAAAATCTGCTCAGTAATAATGCTTAAAAAGCACAAATGTGAGATGCAATTTTTCCTAAGCTAACTGTCTTCCCTGTATCACAGTAGAGCCAATTTACCTTCTGTGAGATCACTCACATATGATAAATGACACTAGAACCAAGAACCGCTTCAATTTTCTCATTTACACAGAATTCGTGGGTTTCAAACAACAATCAATACTACAAAAGCAAATTGCACAGTGATGAGATAATAACATTAAAAGCCACACAAAGATATGTCAAGTGAATCCATTTTCATTCCAAGCCATCAGGAAATCAAATTTAGAACCTCAATAGGATTCGTACAATGACAACAAGAAGTTCGAAAGCAATAACATCAAGACCTACTCCAAGAGTAACACTACTTGAACAATGAGCGGTTATCCTCCTACCATATCGATCAAAGGTAGTAAAGGAAAAGGAGCTCACGTGTAAAGAGGCCAATCAGTCCAGGCCCCTGAAACATGACCATTCTCACAGACATAAGCTCGAACAACTGGTTCGCCATCATCATGGAACCCAAAATACCTTCTCAAACAAAAAGCAGAATGCAGATCCCACGTCTCTTTACAAGCGCAGAATGCACAATTCAGCTCAATCTTACTCCTGTGTCCATCGTTAATGGTTCTCCAAACTCTCGACTGCTTAAAATTCTTGAAAATTCCCCTAAAAAGCATGTAATTCCGCTTCTCCTCAACGTGAACACAACCAGGCCAATCACAAATGTACAAGCAATCCCCTTTGAACCGGCTGTTAAGCAGTTTATTCCCTTGCTCCCGGCTCAAATTCCAAACCCCTTTGGCCAAATGAGACTTGAGTGATCTATGACGGCAAATCTTCCTCTTCTTCTTACACCCGGCGGCCGGAGATCCGGCCTGGTCCATTTCTCTCTGGGGCTCCTCATCTACAACAATCCTGGTCGGATCCGGGTCATCCGTCGACGTCGCTTCAGAAGTATCATAAACAGTATCATAGAACAGATCATCAAACAAAGACCAACAATTATCCGACCCATTTACCTCCGAATCAAAAGCATCCCTTCTCGAAGAACACGTGGCCAACGCCGAAGCGGAAACCGGCGCCGGCGCCGGCGAAGCAGCTTGATGAATCCGGGGACGGAAATTCTCCTCGGGCCCAAGCTCACGCAGGAGGCCGAAATCCGAATTTTCCAAGAGGACCCCAGCTTGACGGATACCCGGACAAGAAACAGCGAGCTTGTAAAGGGCAGCCCATCCGCCGGGAGGAGCACCGGAACCGGAACCTCCGGTGCCGGAAAGGAGATCGTTGACAACGGAAGGTATGGTCTGGGAACACTTGGTTTTGCAACAAACGTCCCAGATCAGAGAAGAGAATTTGGTGGAGACGCAGGCGAGACGAGCCCAGTAGCGTGGATCATCCTCCAGCTTGAACAATATGTTGAGGACAACATCGTCGGAGAGCTTCGAAAACACACTTTCAGTTTCAGACATTTCTTCCTCCATTATTCCCCTTTTTCACCAGAAATCCGATAAAGAACAATAAAACTAAATTATATATAGACCCTGATAACGACGATGATGATTAAAAATAATATTAAGGCAGGAAGCACATCACATGGGAATTAACAAAAAAGAAATAATTAATTAAAGCAATATAAAAGAATTACAGATAGATTTGGGGAAAAAAATGGTGGTTGAGAAAGAGCGAGGCAGTCAATCAATGAAGTCGGGCCATCATCAGCAACCCAGTTGTGGACTTTTACTTTAAAGTTTGAAAAAGATGAGATTTTTGAAAAAAGGTTTGGTGGCAGAGCCAAGAGGAGGAAGGAGGATGGCTATGGAGGGCGGTGGGAAATCAGGGCAGAAAGATCTTCTCCGGTTCAATTCATTCAGAGGGAAATTGTGGTATTTATGCCCGTTTGTTTTGTATATGTGTTGATTTAGGAGTGGTTTTATGGACAATTTGCAACGAGTGGTTCTGAATTGAGCCACAGTTGAACCCTGACGCTTTTCGTTTTCGGACCCCTTTTTATATTTTAAGACAATGAAGAAGTTGAGGACTATAATTAGAATGAAACTCCAACTGTTTATCCTATCTATTTTGATCCAGTGTAGTACTACTGCTTAGTAACCATTTTCCAATTAATTAATGTGAATATAACTATTGATGTGGATAAATCATAACCGCTGAAATTTACGCAACTATTGCCTTCGTTACTTAATATAAAATATTTTAATTTTATTCTATGTTTTACTTAATATATATTTTAAATTTACGAAAAAAAATTTTAAAAATATATTTTCATATTTGTTGTATTCTATTGATTGTTATGAAACATTTTTAAGGTTTTTTAATTAAAAATACATACTAAGTTAAACCTAGGACAAATCAAAATGTCTTGTATTAAAGACAGAAGGGAGTGCGCCAAAAAAGTTTTTTCATTCAATAGTATTATTGTGTTACAAAATACAGAATTTTCAGTGTATGTATCAATATTCCTAGTAAGTCCTGAGAATTTTTCAGTGTGTCGATACTCCTCATAAATCATACTTTCTCTGGTCCTTATTATAAGACATTTTGTTTTCATCCTAGGTGAATAAAAATCTTAAAAATATTTCATAATAATTAGAACAACACAATCAATATAAAAAAAAATATTTCTAAGATTTTTTTTCTAATTAAAAAAATGTCTTAATTTACATCTAAGACGAAATCAAAATGTCTTATATATAAGACATCTTAGTTCTATGTGTCTCATTAATCATAGCTGCTCCCTCCATTTTACGTAGATGTTTCTGGAGGAAAAATAAAAAATAAAACTAAAATTTTCAAAGTATATGTAGTTCTCACGAATGAGAACATGTCTTGTATAAAAAAAAAAAAAAAAAAAAAAAGAAACATGGTTTTGTCAATTTCTATTAGCATTACCTCTACATAAGAAATTCTAGTTATGTTCAAAGTAAAATTACGTTAAAACTGAATATTATGAAAACTAGAATTGCACAGAAAATATGCAAGAATAATTTCGTATTTTCACAAATTATGTATAGTTTTCAATTTTATAAAATCTGTCCAATAATATCTATTTTAAAATAGAAAAAGACTTGAAGCTGAAGCCCCCTTTTGGCCTTTTGCGTGTATAGTATGTTGCCATAGCAATATATAGGGGTAATACACAAGAATTCCCTCATGGTTTGGGAAACGACACGAGAACCCTCCTATGGTTTCAAAAGCACACATCCGAAACGTGTAAAATAGATGTAAGAGGTTAAAAGTGACGGAGGGTGTACATGAAGCGCGCGTAGGGGAGAGTGGGCTTTCTCTTTTATGCTTAAAAACTTTTTTACACCTAAAATGCCCCTTAGGTGGATATGAAGAACATGAAGAAAGAGGAGGGCAAATTCCAAATAACTATATAAAACAAAAATTCCCTAGATGCCAAACTCTTCAGTTTCAAGGCCACCGAATTCACCACCTGGCCTAAAAGCTTCAACGAAAATCCTAGCCAATCACCATTGCTGCCTGGATATAGGACTAAAATCCCCACCACCTCAAAACCCTAATAAAGGATCCAAACATTTCTGCAAATCCAGAGATCACCCAGATCGGAAATCAAACATTTATCAATGGTTAATGGTGGCCAATCAAGATGGGTAGGGAAAAAATTAGTAGCTGATTTGGATGTTCTTGGATGTCGTCGGCTAACCGAGGTTTGTTCATGGACGTATGGGGTAATGGATTTTCAGGAGCAGGAGCATTGCAGAGGAGGAAATGGTGGAGGTTGCGAAAGCTCAGAGGAGAAACCGGAGGAAGAATGAGAAAGAGGTTATGTCAATCTAATTTTAAAAAGGGTAAAAATGTCAGATTTTATACCGCCGTTAGTGTCAAGCTTTTCCATCTATTTTACATGTTTCCGAAAAGAACGAGGGAATTCTCATGTGCTTTTGAAACCATAGGGGGTTCTCGTGTCGTTTCCCAAACCATGAGGGGTTCTTGTGTATTACCCCCAATATATAACAACACAAATGTTAAAAGAATCACGTAAAAATTCTATAAAGAGAAATCAAATTTATCCATCTTCCTGTCACCGTTTCTCCTTGAAAAACATCAAGTTTGGTAACTTCGTTTTACATTAGGTTCTATTTGCATTCTTTTTATCAACAGATCCACTCAATTTTTTTTTGAATTTTTCAATCAATATATTTTTTATCCAATGTCTAAGTCTAATAGAAAAATATAAACTAAGAAAACAATCCAAACAAAGCCTTAAAAACAATCCAAACGAAACCTTAGTAGATTCAAATAGTGTAGATGCAATGTACTTGCGAGCTAATGTCGTTTGTTGATCCTTCGCCCCTAGTTTACTTCACTAGCAGGAGAAAAGTCATCCATAGTTTTACTTTCACCCCAAGTGGAAAAGAAAATGTCCGCACCTCCCCCAATCAACTGAAAAGAAACCACTGCCCAGCATTCCTTATCTCTACACGTCCAATGCCACAAACTGTGTACCTTTTCCTACTTGATTGTAAGCCACACATTGCAAACCCCACCCACAGTACTCATTGATTGAACTCAACCAGTTTTGGCAAATCCATCATCAATGTGCCATGTTCCCCCAAAGCATAACACACATTCCAGATTCTCTTAACCCCAAGTTCAAGTCATCAAACTTGTAAATACCTCTAACTAGGAAATAGATATTCGTTCGACTTTAAATTAGCCACGGTGTATCAACTCAAGCAAATGACCAATGAAATCCACCACGAGCAAATTGCACATAAAGAAATCAGTGCCAAAGAACACATATAACAGATCTATATTAGTCTATTAGACAGACAAACCAAGGTGCTCACCCCCAATTACATATCCTAAGCTTATGAAACTAGTGTAGCGTCGTTATAGGGACAAGTGCAACAAATACACATGAATAACATACCCAGAATCGAATATATTCAATTTCAGCATAATAATACCTTCGCGAGGTCTTTATAAAGAATTCAGAGAATACCATTCAATAATAAGCTTAATACTGAATTTCACCATAACAGTTTAGTACAACATATAAAATAACTTCTTTGCTCGGCTCCAGCAATGACAAATCATGAAGTCTTTTACCGTTTCAAATCCATCCAGTAGAATGCCACTCAACTACCAGATCTAGTATCTCTGCACATCAACCACAGCTGAATCTCACCAACCAATATTTTAGAAGAAAAAAATAATAATAATAAGCACAATTAAAGAAGACAGCCTTAAATTCTTGGAACAGATCAAGAATATGAAGCCAGACAAAAATTACAACCTCAAGCACTTCTGCTCCGGCTCCTGCTACCACTCCTACTCCTACTCCTGCTCGCGCTCTTACCTGGACTGCGCTTTGGTGGGCTCTTGCTCAAACGTTTCTGGCGCTAAAATAAAACAAACAAATAGAATCGGGTATAACAATAGTGTAAAATCATCCAAACCAATTCTACCGAACATAGATGCCAGTCAAAGGGGATCATGTAACAAAATGACCAAAAAGGTATATTCTACTTACAGATGGCAGGGGGGACCTGGATCTGGAAGGAGATCTGCAAAAGTTCCAGAAATAACCCAATTTAATTTCCACAAGATCCTCTTAACAAGTGATCCAAGAGCCTTGAATGCCACTTCCACGTCAGAGTTACCACAATCAATATGGACAAGAAGAAATCAACACATTCAGCAAAACAAAGTGAAAATTGAACATATTTCAACCAAAATGATTACCCACTCAAGGACAAAAATCTTGAAAGAGCCAATGAAGCTCCTCCTTACAGTACCAATGACCAGCAAACAATAGGTTTCAGGGAGTATGATTTATTAGCTTTGCAGCATAGGAGAAGATTAAAAACAATGGCGATCCCAAATTTCATATGGCAATTAGATCCTAGTCCAGCTTCGCCATGAAAAATCCATGATCTTCTGGTTCCCATATCTAGCAGCCATGGACATTTATTGTACTTATTAGAATAGAAACCATCAAGGATTTCCAAAGCTGCCATCTAAAAGACATCATACCTCCAACAAAAAGAGTTGTAGGCAACAGAACCATATCCCAAGACAGTCATAATATGCAATTCCCAGATCGCTGCATATATCCTTATCTAGAAAAACAAAGAATGTGATTCCCAAGTTTGAAAAACAAAAGCAACAACACTGAAGTACTCCTCATAAAAAGGGGGCCAAATTTTCTAAACTTTTCTTAGGAAACAAGAACAGGGCCGGTATGTGGGCTTAAAAGCAGCAAAACATTCAATGTTTGCCAAGAATATCAGACCAGATAAATTGGAAGGATCAAGGCTCTGCAATTAGCACTCAAATGATCGATGAAAATGGGTAATCCCATCGCTAAACAACCAGAGATGGCAAATTCAAACAGAGAAACAAACTTGAGTAGTATACTGTTAACCGTCCAGTTAAACTTTATCCCATTTCGAAAACACTTTACCATCAGAGACAACACATACTATGAGCAAGTACCAGTTTAAAAGGGGAAATAATCTATATCCAAACGTCATTCACAGACCCTCAAGATACCGTCCACTTAAAACAACCATCAAACAAGAATATTTTTACTTGATTGGCATATCTTCAACAGAATCATTTCATTGTAATAGAAATTTAAAAAGTTTTGAAGAAACAGACTATACATACACCAGCGTATATCCTAAGGAGAAGCCAATACATACATGTTCGCATCCAAATGAAGAGCATAAGAGTATTTATACACAACAGTGTATGTCTTAGAGAGAAGCCGATACATACGCTTAAACATTCGAGCAATCAAATGAAGAGGCCATAAAAGGCATCATTAGGGGAACCCTGGGCCCAGCTTCTTTTACATTAAAGGAAAGAAAAAACAAATTCCCACCCACCCTCGACAAGACAATAGAGAAATAATGAATGCAAGACCTCTCTATCCTCCCATTTGAATTCATACTTTACCATTAATATTTTTCTTTTAAAATTCTCAACTTATTTTATAAATATCGACCCATGAGCACTCATTTTACTTCATTCTCATCCCAAAAAAAAAAACAACAAAGAAAAAACTCCACAAATAAAGACCCAAAAAAACTCTTTCCTTTAGAATGACATACAGCGAGAACAACAGAGAGAAGTACATCGATAAGTAGATGAATACATAACAAACATCATGTACCTTGACACTGAATTTGCTCTGGACCTCGAGGGAGACCTCGACGACACAGACCTTGAGCGGGATCTTGAACGCTTGACAGATTTAGCTTTTGGAGACTTGCTGCAAGGGGGGGGGGAGTCCAATCTTCTTTTAATAAATGGGTTGACCCCCAAAATAAAAGAACAAACAGAAACATTAAGAGTTACACAACCTCCTACTCCTACTACGGCTTCTACTTGGGCTGCGGCTGGCACTCCCTCTTGATCTCGAACGACTGCGGCTTCGACTCCTTGATCGGTCATATTCCTTCACCTGCATGAGGATCATATTAACAAGCAGACACTAACAAGCAAGAGCATTTTAATTGTTTGAATATAAAACCAGATGTGCAAATGCCTGACACGTACGCGGATTATTGCACGAGAATAGGAATTGCGAAACTCAGAATCGTCAAGCTTTTTAATCTGCATATGTACAAAGGGTGCACATTAAAAAATTGCAGCATTACCCCAACATAGATAAATGCTCCATGCAGATCTTGATAGGTGAACAATAACAGAAGGCAATAATGCAAAAACTCACAGAATATTTCATGTCATCATAATTTGTATAATCCACAATCCCAGTAGTGCCTGCAAAAACCAAAAGAAACACACAAGATCAAATGATCCTGTCAGAATCAAATGCAAACCACATCCCACGATCATCCCAAAATTCCCGTAGCAGTGCCCATAACCTGGGCAACTACCAATATTATGCAATATCAATCAGAAAAAAAACTTCAATAAAACAGATGCCAATACCCCAAACATAACATAATTCAAGTATTTTCTTGATCTTACCATTTCCCTCACGGAAAACCTGAGAGAAACAAACATCCCCAGCACGACGCATATGATCCTGCAAAAAAGAAAAGGTACATAAGAGTTCGTTCAACAAAAACTACACCAGATTTTTCTTCATTCAAGTTGGTCTACCTTTTGTGGGTCCATACACAATTGGGATTTAGGTTATGTCCAAAAGGAGAAAACAAAAGAGCCTGATTTAAAGGGCCTGAATAAAGCAGTCAAGAACTTTAAAGCATACCTTGAGGTCTTGCCATGAAGCAGAAGCGGGTAATCCAGTGACCATCACTGATACATAAAGGAGAAGTTAGACAACATACTATAACATCAACAGCTTCGAAATTTACATAAAAGCATCAATGCATCAATTCATCGCAGACCTCTATAATCAGACCGCCTAGAGACTCCACCACGAGGACCCCTGCCACCACTATCTCTGTAGCGATCAGATGATGATGAGTGACCACGCCCACCATGCGCCAGCTCCACCTGTGACAGAAACAGGTCAGGAACAAATGAGAGGAGGGTCACATAACAAAATAAACATCATATTTGCGACGACGATAATAAAAATTACCCGCAAGCGGTTTCCCTCATACTCATAGCCATCTCGACCACGAATGGCGTCTTCAGCATCACGGGCCTCCTCAAACTATAGAAAATGTTTAGTAAATTAAAAAAAAAAAGACAATAGTAACTATTCAACACAGCAAACTAATATTTAATGAATTAAAACTTAGTATATATTCCAACACAATGAATACTATGTAACATGAAACTCACCTCTACAAATGCATAACCTGGGGGCCTTGGTGGGATTTTCAAATCGATATGTGCAATTCGTCCATACTGCAATTAACAAACACAAAGTATATGAGTTGGAAGTCATGGATTCAAGCCCAAAGTATCAACAGTGCAGGAAAAAAAAAATCAAACTGTGACAACCAAGGATATTGCACATAATGCACCTAGCAAGAACTAAGTTGTCCCATCAATTAAGCTTGAAAGAGAATCTACAACGGCATGACTAATGGAAAAAGAAATGCAAAAGGCGGCCAGGAAATTACCTTGTAAAACAAAGTTTCCACCTCACGTTCACGAATATCTCCAGGGAGATTCCCAACATAGAGAGTTCTACTTGAGCGACTCATTGGAACACTGGAAAAGATACGTATAGAATATGAGTTAAGGTTGCAAAACAAAGGATTAATCCACAACCAAACATAAATTAAAAGGGATGGCGGCCACAATAAACATCAAATAAGGGGGAAAAATCACCAATTCGCCGTTTAAACCAAACTATTGAAAACATTCATAAAACAACCCATCCGTCCATGAAATTAATAGTCCAGATTGATTAAATAAAGAAGAGTGAAAGCTGAGGAATTACGAATAACTCGAATCATAATAAAAAAGTACCAGCAAAGGTAACGACGATGGCGCCGAGGGCTACCGGTTGGTGAAGAATCGACGATTAGGGTTAGCTGCGGAGGAGTCGCTCGATGTCGATGGAAAAGAGTTGAGATCAGCAAATCCTATGTTTTTATTACGGTGAGGAGTCATACGGTGTTGTAGCGTGTACCGTATTATCTTGCACGTGTGCTGCGTTTAAGATTATCTAGGCGGCTACGATGGCGCGGGATTTGAATGGCGAATTATGAACGGTTGTGATCACACTGGTCTCTTTTAGCATACCAAATAGAAAGAGGATTTTCACTTTTTATTATTATTATTATTTTCCTTTTTGCAAATTTTAGATTCTCAGGAAGATAGTATATACTACATTTTACAGAGGAAGATAGAATCTAAATATGTACTTTTGTAGCATGATTTTAATTAAATTTCGTATATCATTCGTTAATTCTTAAACATTTACATGTGTAATTGTGTATAAATAAAAATATAAGAGAAAAAAAAAACATAGTATTATAACTAACCTTTTTATATAAGAAGAACAAATAAAGAAATGACTAATGAAATGTTAGATAGATTGTTTCTTATTACAAAATAATAACAAATATTGATTTCTGTTTCGCATATATATATATATATATATATTTATAGTACAATAAAACAATTCTTAAAAAAACGTAACATATTTATTATTTCCAATAATTTACCCTATGCAGATCGATGGGACTAGGATTCACAGATGATCGGCAACATAAAATCCATCAGGTTTGACTTCCCAATAACAAATATGATAACCAAATTGATCGCAATAATTTTCAGCTATGCGAGAATCAAATGCAGCGAATCCTCCTTGTTTATTATGCCACCAAAAGTCACAATAAAAATTTGTATTTGTGATGAGTTTAGGTTTAAAATGCCAATTTAAATCTTGATGTAATTTTAAATAATGAGTTCCAAGCTCATCATCCCCGGAAAAACAATGTACCTTAAGAGTATCTGGGAAAAAATTCACGATATGAATATGGTATGTTGGTTGAAATTGTGCGAAAACATGAAATGTAAAAAATGATGAGAAAGTCACAGAGACAAAAATACTTTTACTTGTTGCAAAGCTCATTGTTTATGTTGTTCAAAATGCCCCTTGCAATTTACAAGCTTTTTGATGTTGTTGTAATTATAACTCTTTAATGAAATATAAATATGCAATACCCGAAACAAATAAAAAATGAAAAACAATAATAACACAAAAAAGTGACAGAGGGTAGTATCTTTAATGTTTAGGTTGGCATAACTTAAGAGTTTTGATTTAAAAAGTTAGTATAAATGTAATAAAGTGACTTCTTTATAGCGCACAAGATTCACAACTTTATTTTTGTGTGGTTTTCTCGTATACAAAATCTTAATCGTTACTAACAAATTTATATTACATCCAATATATCACTGACCATTAAAAAAGACTTATCAAACCTAACTATGCCAAAAAGTAAAATGTATACAAAAGAGATGGAATATGTTGTATACTAGCAAGACAAAAAATAACTACTTCTCAATGTATCGTGATCCAATCCTATGCATTATTTTGCTAATTATATCATTGTTGTAAAAATATTTTTATAGACTTATTAAGTATCTTAAATTATTGTTTCAAATTAAAATATCTTCAAAGATGTTGCGTATACGTTGAGTTTTAACACTTAGGTTTAAAGTATGAACACTTAATACTTAACATTAAAGTCTGAAATCTAAAGATTAAATTTACGATGTTTGATAAAAAAAAATATCTAAATTTGATGTTTGAAGACTAAAGACTACATCTGAATACTTATTAGTAATGTCTGAATGTTTATTTAACGTTCAACGTGATTAAAATCATGATTATAGACATTTTTTAATAAACGTATTTAATATTTTTTTCCCACACAACAAAATTACTTTTTCAAATGAATTTTTTAAGTAAATATAACGAAAGTAGATATTACTCATGATATAAAATCAAGACAATCAAATTTAGATGATATGTATATATATTGACATATATAGATATCTTAATATTGAATAGAATTTATTAAAAAAATTAATTTGAGTTTGCATGTTTTGATTTTGTTTGATATTCATAATTTAAGTTCAAGTTTGAACTCTAATGATTTATTTCAGAAAAATTCGACCAAGCAACTCATATGGTTTTTTATTTTTTTAATATTTTTTAAATTCTTTTTATGGTTTTTAAGCATTAAATTTATTAATCAATTTAGAATATATAAAGTCTTTACTATTTGCATAAGTTTTTTTTGTCCACTTATTCGTCTTTTCAACAAATTTAACGGGGACGAATCATGAAAAAAGTCAACAAAAATAAACTCTATTATGTATTATGATACACTTTAACCAATCAAAGTGTCAACATTTTAATAAAACTCAAAAAATTGTTAGTTTTAAAGGAAATGTTGTCGCGTTGACTTTTCCGTCGACCAATCGACATCGACGAAAAAGTCGACGATAACCATAACATCTAATTTTTAATTATTTTTTATATATTTTTTTATTCTTTTATGGTTTTTAAGCATTAATTTTATAGATTAAATTTAGAAGATATAAAATTTTCACTATTTAGATAAGTTTTTTATGTCCTCTTATTCGTTTTTTCAACAAATTTAACGGGAACGAATCACGAGAAAAGTCAACAAATACTAAATTTTATTATGTATTATGATAGATATTAACCAATCAAAGTGTCAAAATTTTAAAAACTCAAAAAAATGTTAGTTTTAAAAAAAATGTCGTCGCGTCGACTTTTCCGTCAACCAACCAACATCGACGATAAAGTCGACGACAACCAAAACATATGTTTTTTTAATCATTTTTTAATATTTTTTTATTATTTTTATTGTTTTTAAGCATTAAATTTATGTATCAATTTAGAATACTAAATGTTAAACCCGCACGATGTGCGGGGTTTATACATATACATCTATTAAAATATATTTTTAAATTTTAAATGTGATTAATACAAATAAAGTAACTGGTTTGTAATAATAAATATATGATTAAAATTAAATTAGATCGTGATAAATAAAATTGTTATATATACTTTGAAATGACAATATTTTATAAATTGTATACCAAAAATGTAATTAAATAATGGAATATGTATAAGGATTATATACAAAAAAAAGTAAAAAAAGACCATCAAAATAATAAATCAGATATTACATATCATATAAATCAAAGCAATTTATGTCTACACGGTTAAAAACGCATGTTAATCAAGATTGCACACAATTGGAGAAAGAGACACCTTACATGTTAAATAAAACATGATCGGAGTGAGGTCGTTGCCGCAAAAATGTTTTGTAAAGTATATAAGATGCTTCGCTTCAGTGTTTCATCGGTTGTCATTGTACATGTTAGAGTTAGATCGAAGTGGATATTTATAGTGAATGTCTGAATGAGATATCATAACCAGTAACTAAAGTAAAATTCATAACTATGGAATAAAGAGGATAACGACACGTTGATTAAGGGATAAGATTGGTGGGGAAATGACTTTCATTGCATTAATGTTAATTAGTCTTTTTCAATTAAATTTGATTAGTTTTTAATCAATAAAGAATTTCCACTTTCCCGCACGTTGAACTTAGGTTTTAATCAATCAAGTAGTGATTTTAGGGATTATTTTGTAGAGGAATTTTTTTTTTATTCGAATTGGGTGGGGTAAAAAATCCCGGTGAATTAATGTAAAATTAATAAATGCCTTATCCCTTTGAACTTATAATTTAAATCAATTAATTAATACTAATTGGGGATTATTTTTTGGAGGGAATAATTCTGGTGCATTAATATTCATTAATCCTGTCTATTAAATTTAATTAATTTTTATTTTCCTATTTTAAACTATAGTTTTAAATGCCATTTGATAAAACTTTATTTACATAAAATTTGAAAGACTATTAGTATAATTGTTGTAAATATTTTTTGACTCAACCAATAGAAAAATGAAACATAAGATTTTATCCTATGTGGCACCTTTAGAATTCTTTTTTGTTTTCTCTCTCTGGTTTCTCTCTTAGTATAATATACTATAGATATAAAGTTTTTATTATTTGCATAAGTTTTTTTGTCCACTTATTCGTATTTTCAACAAATTTAATAAGGACGAATCACGAGAAAAGTCAACAAAAACTAAACTTCATTATGTATTATGATAGACTTGCCATCGACTCGCAACTCGCAATTTGCCGAAAGGCATAGAATCTCAAAGGTCCACATCAGGTAATTTCGTTGATTTTGATTCTAATTTTTCTTTGAATCCCGGTCGGAAGAAGCTATTATTAATGCCGCCCGTTGTCTATTTTGTTCGTTCTTTCTTTTCTTTCTCTATAAAATTTTAATTTAAATAGAAATTGTTATTTGGTTCTTGTGGTGGATTGTCTTAACTTTTGCAGTTGAATAGAGGGAACCGTAAGCTAAAGTTCAAATTTTGTGCAAGTTTTGCCTCGGCGACAATTCTTCTGTCCGAATGGTATAGCGGTTTTTTTTTCTTTTAAAAGTATTTCTGTAGTAAATGGGGTTTTAATCTGTCTAGGAAGAAACTGAAAATACATTACTTTGTAATTTATTACGACTTGTTCTAACTTTCCTTTGTAATTTTGCTCTTGTGATTCCAATATTACAGGAAGAAATTGGATTAGATGATGAATCTCCTTATTAGATTGTCAAGCTTCCAATGGATCCCTATCACATTGTTGACTAAATTGAGCAAATTGTTTCAACATGTTCAAATGTTAAAGCAAAAACTATGAGGCAAGAATAAAAAATGGAAAGAAAACGAACGAACAAGAAGACAAGAAGAAGGGAGACAAGAAAGAAGAAGACAACCTAGTAGACAACCAGAGAAGTCTTCCTTTGGATTCATATTCATAATCAAAAAGCCAATATGGACAAGAAGTCGTTCACAGCAAATTGTCGGTGGCCGACAATTCAAATGTAATTCAAATTCAAATGTAAATTGAAATTCAAATGTAAATTCAAGAAATCTTTCTATAAATAATGAAGGATATCAAATGAGAGAGACACACCAAATTTTCTGGTATCTTTCGAAAACTAAAATCTCTCTTTTGTAATTCTTTGGTTTAAATAAAATTTCCTTTCGATCTAATTTCGTTCACTTTGATTTTATTATACCGGTGATTTCAAAAGCCTCACAAAATGAACCCATTTCTCTTCTTTTGCTTCCATATTTAGCTTGAAATTTTAATTCTTGACATGCATCTAATGCTTATTTTTAATAAATGTGAATTTGCCCATAAGTCAACATACTAAAATTAATTTGTTCGGTTCCCATTTCTTTTTGTAAATGTGACATTATTCTTTCTGAAAATAAAT